AAAACAAAACAAGACATCAATAACCTCTCTGTACTGACATCTACCACCAGCTACCACCCAATTCCTCTATGTTCCTGTTAGAGTAGAGGGTCTCATCTGGGGACAATTTTGCACCCCCCCCACCAGAGGACATTTAGCAATATCTGGAGACATTTCTGGTTGTCACAGCTGGGGGGAGGTGCTACTGGCATCTAGTAGGTAGAAGCCCTAGATGCTGCTAAATATCCTACAACGCACGGAACAACCCCTCGCAACAAAGAATTATCCATTCCAAAATCTCAACAGCTCTGAGGTTGATGACCTCTCTTTTAGAGCAAAACCCATAATTTTATCTCTATTCCACATCTCTAATTCCCTCTGTCATTTTCTCTTGAACCTACTCCAGCCAGGCTCTCGTTCCTACCACTTCCCCAAATATGACCGTATCAGGGTAATCCAAGATCTAACGGTCCCCCTCAGTCCTCATGACCTCAACCTATTGGCAACATTTTACACATAATATAACAGGCATCTAATGTCCTGAACTTCCGTTCCTCCTCCCAGGGCTACTATGTTTGTATCCTTCCCAATTTTAGCTGATGTCAACTTCCTTCTTTCCATTGTCCAAGCAGTCATTCTTGCTTTTTCTCTTCCTCTCACACTTTGCATCTGATTTGTCATCAAATCTTATCGGCTCTTCCTTCAAAATGTATCTGGAATTTATTACTTCCCCCAACTTCCACTGCTGCCACCTGGCTCATGCCACCCTCATTTTTCACCTAGGGTCAAGGTCCTAGATTATTGCAACAGCCTCTGGAAGGATCTCCGTGCCTCCACCTTTGCTCTCATACAACTGCAGGGAGCATGTGGGAAGGTGAGATGTTGTTCCTGACCCAAACTCTCCAAGGTCTTCCCTTCTCATTCACAGTGAAAGCCAAAGTCTTTTTGTCTTTATTTTGGGGTTTCTTTTTTATTTCTTTTTTCTTTTTCATGATTAAATTCTTTTTTTCCCAGCATCAGGAGATAAACAATGATAAAAACCAAAGTCTTCATGATGGCCAGTGAAGCCTTATCCAATGTGACTGCTGACATGGCGTCCACCTGCTCTCAGTCTTGCTTCCTCTGTTGCAGCCCTTTCCTGACATGGCATCCCTTATGCACTACAGGCACACTCCCTACGCAGGGCCTTTGCATTTGCTGTTCTTTTTGCTTGGAACATTCTGCTCCAAATACCCTTATGGCTTGCTAGCCACCACCCAACACTCAGCTCTTCACTCAAATGTACCTTGTCACTAAGGAATCCTCTGGCAAGTCTACATAGAACTGCAGTTCCGTTCTGCCCTGCCCCTCTTCTCTGCTTTACTTTTTCCAAAAGGATTAAGTATCTCCTCATCTAATACTTTGTAGATTTTAAGCATTTCTTTTTTATTGACTATCTCCTCCTCTGACAATGTAAACTCCATGAAGGCAGGGTTGTTTTTTTTTTTGCCTGTTTGATCCATGGTTGCATCCTCATTGCCTTCAGCCCCTGCTATATAGTAAGCCCTCAATAGATAATTTTTGAATGAATTAATGAAGGAATGAATGAACTGCATCTTCAATAAATACTCATCAAAGAAACACTTGCCTTAATATCATTTTTATCACTCTATCAACCACTGGACTAATTATATGGAGTCTAAGTGGTTAAAATCCACACGCACATTTAGAACATTAAATGCTTGCTTGAATGAATTTCCTTTCTTTGGCCTTCTTTCTTGCTCAGGGTATTTGCTAGACCTAATTAAGCAAGCTTATCTTCTTCCAGGCTTCAACTACTACTTCAGTGTCATTAACTTTCCAAATTTATTTATCTTTGACCTCACTTCCAATCCTGATCTGCATTTGTATTTCCGACAACTTACTGAATAATTTTAACTGTGTTCCTCAGTTACCTATACTTTAAAATCAACATTTAGAAACTCAAAGCTATTTATTCAACCCTTCACCCTGACTTTACACAAAAGTAGACACACATTGAACTGTTCTTTCTGTCTCTTTTTTTATTTTTATTTTTTGAGACAGAGTTTCAGTCTATTGACCAGGCTAGAGTGCCGTGGCGTCAGCCTAGCTCACAGCAACCTCAAACTCCTGGGCTCAAGCGATCCTGCTGCCTCAGCCTCCCAAGTAGCTGGGACTACAGGCATGTGCCACCATGCCCGGCTAATTTTTTCTATTTTTAGTTGTTTGGCTAATTTCTTTCTAATTTTTTAGTAGAGAAAAATTACTTGCTCTTGCTCAGGCTCTTGCTCTTGCTCTTGCTCAGGGTCTCGCTCTTGCTCAGGCTGATCACAAACTCCTGAGCTCAAGCAATCCTCCTGCCTTGGCCTCCCAGAGTGCTAGCATTACAGGCATGAGCCACTATGCCTGGCCTGTTCTTTCTCTTATAGATATATTTTTATTTTGGTTATTTGCCTCAGTAGCTACTCATATGATCAAACTAGAAATGTGGAATCATCCTTATTTTTTCTGTCTAATATTTTCTTTATCTAATTGATCCCCAACATCCTACTGATTTCAACCTCTGATGTTGTCTCACGTAGATCCCTTGTTTTCTGTGTTCTCAGATCTTTGGTTAGGAGTATGTGGGTGAAAGCAAAACCTTCCTAAGTGATTTCTCTGCCTCCAGCTATTCTAATTTCTTCTTTGTATTATTTCCAACTTTGTAATTCCAAATAGCTCCAGGTTCAGATTTCTTAATAGGTCATAAAATGGCTTAATCTTCTGGATAAGGGAAGATAGGAGTTTTGTAGAGAAGACTTAATGTATAAATCCAATAATGCAAGAGCTCCCAGTAATCACTTTATTTGACAGACTATACTCACTTGAGTAGACAAAACCTTGGAGCAATGAACCCAAGATGGGGTTACTTTGTTAATCCTTAAAGTCCAATAGGGGATCCCAGATTTGGAAGTGGGATGGAGGCTTTTTGGAGAAAGTGATCAGTTTATACAGAAACAAATGACACAGAGGCAAAAACAGATTCTGGCATATTCAAGGAACTGAGACCATTTATATATATAATATTTAATGTATGATATGATATGATCTGAGGGTCTTTAAGCTTCATTTGGGAGGGGTGTGAAGTAAGTGGAGAAGAAATGAAAATGTTACATAATCATTATAGCGCATGCATGTTCTTTTCTGGGTGTCTGAAACAATAAACCCTGGGTGGAAGATGAGTACATGTCTTTGTGGGAGCCTCTTCAATTTCTAAGACACTAGCTTGCTCATGACTAGGAGCTTTAAGGACATACTCTGATGCTCAGAAAGATACCTGAGTAGCCAACTACATCAAGAGAATGAGCCAAGAAGGAGATTACACTTCTATATTATCCTCATTAGTCACTTTACAGTTTGTACTTTCATTTACCTGTACTTAATTTGCTTCTTAAAATATGATGAGGACTACAGAACAAATATTATGTCTATATTACAGCTAAGGTCCCCAAAGATGGAATGAGTTGGCCAGGATCACAAAGTTGGTAAAAAAAAAAAAAACTCATTTACTCTTCTTGCTGTTAACATATGGAGTACTTAACAAGTCTAGACTCTAAACCTATGAGATAATTAGTCAAATTAATCAGAGGAAACATCTGACATCCTTTAAATGAAAGTTGTGTCTTGGTTTATAACTAAAAGGCATCTACAAAATCAGTTTAACACCCTATTTCCTTTATTAGTATTTTCTAGTCGAACCTAACCATGATTCTACATTTTCATTCCATTATGAGCTCCTTGAGGATAGTGCTTAGGTAATATTTATCTCTGCCTTCCAACATTGTGTTTCTGCCATTCAGGCAGAAAAGTCTCAATAGAAATTTATTGAATTGAATAAATATTCTTAAGTCACAGGAAGGAAACATGTTCCGCTGCCTAACCACTGTTTATTCCCTCTTATCAATAAATCTCAGCATTGTTTTCTCCTTTCTCTGTTTTCTATTTACTATAAAAACCTAATGGTGACTGGCCAAGGAAATCTCCTTTATTGCTGGCTATGAACCTTGTCTTTTTAAATGCAAAGCTAGCAAACACATTGAAGACACTGTGATAATCTTAATTTATTTCTTTTAGAAATCAGAAATATTCAGAACAAGGAGTTATCATGTTTAGAGGTCAAAAAATAGAACCCTTGATTCTAGCCAATAGGTATTTATTTGGGTGAGTAAAGAAGATACGGGAAGAATTGGAGAAGAGGCAAAACAGAAATAAATGGCATGTGGATAATAAGAAAATAGACTTCCTTTCACAGCTGTGAACCCCAGACTAAAAGATACGCAATGCTATTATTTTGTAATATAATTCTAATAAGAAAAATTTAAAAAGACTTGTGTAGACAGCAATATATATTTATGTTGTAGCAAAGGTGTCGTTTTCAAAAACAAACAAATGTATTCGATTCTTCTTTCTCTGTTTTCAATGAAGGAAAGGTGGTCTTTTCCCACCCTTTAACCGTTAGCACTCCTCCTTCCAGGCCTGAGGCAAAATAATGTGTACGGATCTGCTAGAAGACACTTTCCTGAAGCTGATTTTAGGCAGTTTTCTAACGTGGCATCAAAAATAAAATGAATGTCAATTTCATTTAGTTTTGCCTCTAATCTGTGTACGATGGAGTCCCTCACTTAAACCTTTAGGCCTTGGTTTTACTTTCTAAACCTAGTAAAACGGGAGGATGGCAGGAGATTGCCTAGATCCTTTCTAGTTTTGCCTACTAACTACTCCTCCTGTTTGTTTTGTTTTCAGTAGTGGTATTTGGGGCACTTTTAAGGACATTCCAGCCTCTGGGGACAGACTGCCCCAGGCAACAGGTAAGTTTGCTCCGGAGGCGAGAAGGTGGACCCTCTCTGCGGGGCAGGGCCAGATCACTGGCTCCCAGGCACGGATTAGGGCGTCGCAGACAGAATCCCTTCAAGTTTAAACTCGGCCGGGTTGGAGGTGCACCCGCCGTGCGCCACAGCCCCAGGCGCCAACTTCGCGCGGAGCCCGGCGCAGGGCGGGGCGCAGGGGTGTGGCCGCGGTCACATGACGGGCCAGGTGCCCGCCCCGGCCCGCTTGTATCTGGAGTGCCTCTGTCCGGGCCGCGCCGCCTCTCTCTGCACGTGGCGTCGCCGCTGCCTCCTCCAGCCTCTTGTCCCCAGACCCCGCTCCTGCAGCCATGGCTCCCGGCCAGCTCGGTGAGGCGCCGTCTGCGTCCTGTCCCTGTGCCCCCCCCCCCCGAGCCCCGCGCCCGGCGATGGCGGCGGCCGGCGACACCGCGAGCCCGCGCCCGGGCCTGTCCCAGCTCCCCGGGGGGCTCGCGTGTGCGGCCAGCGCCGTCCGGCCGGGGCAGGCCCGGGGCTGAGGCCTGTGATCGCTGGGCTCCAGGGCGGCAGGCCTTGCGGTTCCCGAGTCTCCTCCCCCGGCTTCCCCGCCTGGGCCTTGGGGAACACAGTGTAGCACGCCACGAGTAATGAGAGAAAATGTCTTCTCTTGCAGCCCTGTTTAGCGTGTCTGACAAAACCGGCCTTGTGGAATTTGCGAGAAACCTAACTTCTCTTGGTTTGAATCTTGTCGCTTCCGGAGGCACTGCGAAAGCTCTCAGGGATGCCGGGCTAGCCGTCAGGTAAGGCACGACTTAGTTTTTAAGTCGCGTCCGTCGGAAAGGGGGTGTGATCACATTAACCAGGAAGTACTGTGCTCCAGGCACTGTGAGTAAAATTTCTCCTTGACTCCTCCCCGTCACGCTGCGAGGTTGGCACGCTGCTTCCCCACCGTATGGAACAGGGAAGCGGGGCTCAGGGAGATTTCCTGACTTCTGCACAAGTTTACAGAGCCAAGATTGGAACCTGGTTGTCCTGGTTTTTGAACTCTGGTTCTTAGCCACTTCCTTTGACACATTAACTCAGGTGGGCCGTTTGTTTTGCAAGAAAAACTCCAGTTATAATTCACACGATCTGCTTTGACTGGCTATTTAGTACAACTGTTGACATGAGGAAGATTCAGAGCTACCTTTCTTCTCTTAGAATCTCTGGTAACCACATGGAGGTACCGGTCATTCATTTGCTCATTCCCAAGCTTTTGTTACCTGTCTAGGAAATGGAAACAAGGGATGTACGAAAGATTAATCGGGATGCTATTCCTGACTTCAAGGACTGGCATTCTGGCAGGAGAAGGAGTAACTCAACTAAAAGGTAGAAAAGGAAAAGGCCACAGCAGACAGCTACTTCATAAACTGTAATGACAGTTTAAATGAAGAACATACCTACCCCTGAAATATGTTTTAGAAAAGGGTTGAAAATTTGTTTCTTGGCCTCTAGATCCATGTAAAAGTAGATTGTTGGCTTTTCTTATAATTGTGCGCTATGTGAGCAGCACATAGCTTCCCTAAATTTGACAAGTTGAGATGACAAGGATGCCTTACTGTATTTATTAAATGTGTGCTTTATATTTTCCAAAGTCCTTTTGCATGTCATCTCTGATGTGGTTCTCATGGAAGGCAGGCCAGCTGGCTCTCTTATGATCAGCAGGATGAGAATCCAAAGTCCAAACCTGTGTTTGGCCAAGTTGAGGACTCCTAGTGTAGTTAGGACCTTCTTTATTTATTTATTTTTTTTTTTTGAGACAGATTCTCGCTTTGTTGTCCAGGCTAGAGTGAGTGCCGTGGTGTCAGCCTAGCTCACAGCAACCTCAAACTCCTGGGCTCAAGCCATCCTTCTGCCTCAGCCTCCCAAGTAGCTGGGACTACAGGCATGCGCCACCATGCCCGGCTAATTTTTTCTATATATATTAGTTGGCCAATTAATTTCTTTCCATTTATAGTAGAGACGGGGTCTGACTCTTGCTCAGGCTAGTTTCGAACTCCTGACCTCGAGCAATCCGCCCGCCTCGGCCTCCCAAAGAGCTAGGATTACAGGCGTGAGCCACCTCGCCCGGCCTGTAGCCTCTTTTTTATTGCGGAAACATAGTACATAATACATTTTTACATAATCAAAAATAGTATGATAGGCCAGGTGCAGTGGCTCACGCCTGTAATCCTATAATCTGGGAGGCTGAGGCGGGAGGATCACTCAAGGTCAGGAGTTCAAAAGCAGCCAGAGCGAGACCCCTGTCCCTACTAAAAATAGAAATTAATTGGCCAACTAAAAATATATAGAAAAAATTAGCCAGATATGGCACATGCCTGTAGTCTCAGCTACTCGGTAGGCTGAGGCAGAAGGATTGCTTGAGCCCAGGAGTTGAGGTTGCTGTGAGCTAGACTGACGACATGGCACTCTATCTAGCCTGGGCAACTCAGTGAGACTCTGTCTCAAAAAACACCAAATAGTATAATCCCTCACATCCTGTATCTGTCACCTAGTTTATGTGCTTATCAGCTGGTTAGTCTTGTTTGTGTACCTCTACCCATTCTGTTTACCTCCATTATGATGATGTCATTTTTTAAAAATTGGAAGTGTAAATGTGTTTTTCTCCTATTAAAGTGTGAGAGGGTTCAACCTGGTTCAACCTAAGTGGTTTATTTTAGAGCCCAACACAATAAGGTTAGTTGAATGAAGTATAAACAACTTGGAGGGGTGTTTTACATATATTAATTCATATAGCCCTCACACCTTTTTGGAGTAGGTAGTGTTGACCCTATTTGATGGGTTGGGAAACTGAGGCACACAGAAGTTAAGTAACTTGCCCAAGATCTTACCCTTTTAAGACACCAAGATTTTGTAGGCTGATACTTCTGTAACAAAAGACATGTCAACAAGACAAAAGTATAAAAAGTTTATTGAGTCTAAGTTTCATGTGATGTTAGAGCCTTCAGAATGAAGACATAAAGATGCACAGAAAAGTGCCCATTTTTATGCTTAGGTTCACTGAGGACTGGACAGCAGTGTAGGATGTGATTGGACAAAAAAGAAATGATCTGATGTTAGTAGACTGAGGAGGGGAGAGCCTGAAAGGCCTGTCCAGTTTCTTGCCTCTCTGTGGCATTCTTTCCTCCTGAGGGTCTTATGACCTATTATCAGGCAAGGTAGGTCAGAGAATTTCTTTATGGCCAGCTCCTAGATGGAAAGGTGGGAAGGTTAGAATAATAATTCCTAGTTTTTATGGCTGGCTTTGGGGAAAGGGGGCTCTAGTTTCAATGGCCTGCCTTGGGGAAGAGGAATTCTGGTTTCCATTAGTATGGGGGAGAATGAGGGGTAAGAGGCAGGAGGTTGAAGAGACCTTGGTTCTGAGGCCTTCCACTGTCCTTTAGTTCAAAGTATTCAGTATGGCATAGCACTGTACTTTGGGGTATCATTTTTCTGAGCCCCAACAATTTAATCCCAGGAAATAAACCATTGCCTTATCATGAGGTCAACTGAGATTTTAGTCATTGCATATATAGCAGTGAGCATACAGAGAATTATATCTGAAGTCTGCAACTTTAACATGCAAATTCTTAAGTATGAAGGAGTAGCATGCTTTTTAATAACCCTAAATGTTTAATTCTATGAATAAATTTGCCTTCTTTAAGTTTCTTTTTTTTTAAAATTTACATGATTAGGAATGCAATGCCTTCTCTACGTTTTAAGGGATTCTTTTCAGCTGGAGAAACTGGATTTTATTTCCTGAACTCCAAGAAAGTGAATTTTGAATTTGAAACCACAATGTCACCAGTTTGTTCATTGACACACCAGTCATTTGCAAATGACCCTCCTTAATTGGAGAATCTACCCAGGAGATTCTGTATCTTAATGGTGAAATTTGCTGCTTTAAAATGTTTATTGTAGGGCTGGGCGAGGTAGCTCACGCCTGTAATCCTAGCACTCTGGGAGGCTGAGGTGGGCGGATTGCTCGAGGTCAAGAGTTAGAAACCAGCCAGAAGCAAGAGTGAGACCCCGTCTCTACTAAAAATAGAAAGAAATTAATTGGCCAACTAAAGATATATAGAAAAAATTAGCTGGGCATGGTGGCACATGCCTGTAGTCCCAGCTACTTTCGAGGCTGAGGTAGTAGGATCACTTGAGCCCAGGAGTTTGAGGTTGCTGTGAGCTCTAACCCGGGCAACAGAGCATGACTCTGACTCAAAAAACAAAAGTTTATTGTAGTCCCCAGCTACTCAGGAGACTGAGACTGGAGGATCACTTGAGCCCAGGAGTTCGGGACACTAAGATTGGGCCTGTGACTAGCCGTTGCACTCCAGTCTGGGCAACATTGGGAAGGCTGTATATGTTGATTATATTAATGAAAAATTTGAAAAATGTGGAAAACTATAAAGGTAGTAAAAATGGCTTATAGTTCTTAACATGTTAATGTGTTTTTTTCTTCCAGCATTTTTATAAGCATACATTTTATTTCATAGTCATACAGTTTTGCTTCTTGCTTTTTTGTTTATATATCATGTGCATTTTTCCACATCATTAAAATTTGTAAATTCTGCTGGAGAGGGTATACATGGGTTCAACTTTCTGGAGGTCAGCGTGGTGATACAGATTAATATTATTTAGATGTTTACTTCATTTGACCCTTTGTCATATTTTGTGATTATTTTTTCTAGTTTATTTTTTGTTTTTTGAAGGAATACAGGGGCATATTTTCTTCTTGTAGAGGTAGGGAGGAGAGTGACATTCCAGAAGAGTTAGAACTACAAGCCTAGAAGACAGAGGATGGTCTCTCCCCTACTGAGGGACTGCTCTCTGCCTGGGTCCAGTTTGCTTTTTTTTTTTAAATGTAAAAGTTAGTTTTTTTTCCTCCTAATTTATTGGAAACACGTTCTTGCTGTGTTGCCCAGGCTGGTCTCAAACTTCTGGGCTCAAGAGATCCTCCACCTCAGCCTCCTGAGTACTTGGGACTACAAGTGTTAGCCACTGTGCTGAGCCCCTGCAAAAGTTTTTATTTAACATTTATGTAATCAGAGCTTCTAGTCTTTTTGTGTGACGTTAGCCAGTTATGCTAATACCAACACCACTTTACTAAACAGTCTTTTATTTCCCCACTCATTTGATATGCCATCTTTATGCTTTTTTATCATAAAACTTAATTCTTATTTCTACTTTATTCTGTTTTTGAGGTAAAGATATTCTTCATGCTTTTTGTTACACTGACAAGTGGCTTTCTATTTAATTAGTATGGCTTGTGATTCAGTGTCAGAATTCTCTGAAAATTGTAGAACTAGTGCTTTAATACTCAGTGATTCTTCCTGAACACAGATCAGTAGAAAATATGTTAACATCATTTTGAAAGGTAAATAGAATTTTACTTAAGAAATCAAATATAGTGGAAGACTTAAGAAACTAGAATAATTTTTTTGTTCAACTCAGGCTCAAAAATCTCTTTAAATGAGAACAGTAGACATAGGGATAGAAGATACTTTGAATAGTATATAATGACACTTTAGCTGAAACAGTAGTAATGCTCTGTTTATCTATTTTCAGAGATGTCTCTGAGCTGACGGGATTTCCTGAAATGTTGGGGGGGCGTGTGAAAACCTTGCATCCTGCAGTCCATGCTGGTAAGTGATTGGCACTGTCGGTGTAAAACAATCAGTGGTTTTTGAGAATATTTGAGTCAATAACTTCATAGAATAAAGGAGGGAAAAGGCTCAAAATAATTTACCTGTAAAATTATATTGTTTTTGTCATGTTTGCTGACAAATTTCATAAGGCATAAGAACCTGCTTAAAATCTGACTTGCATTACTACTTGATGAATTCAAGTTATTTTCCTCTGCTTGTTATTTAGTCTTGATCTGATAACTAATTTATAGGGCGGTATTTCCCGCTAGAGTTACTGAAAACATTTAGATTTTGTAGTATGAAAAGATCTTAAAACAATTCAAACTTAGAATAAAACATTATAGTGTAAATGACTTTCAAAAGAATTTTTTTCCAAAGTGCTATACATTTATTCATTTATCTAAGACAGCTAAGGAGCTTCAGTCAAACCACTGAATTATGGGAACACATAGCCTATAATGGAACTAGCAACAGTTTTATACAAATCTACTTTACCTTTTTTATATTTTGTTACTCAAGAAAAAAGATAAAAAAGACTTAAATAACCTAATCTTTTTTCTTGATAACTCCTCTACTATGTGTTTGGTATTTTTTAATTGAGAATATTAGGCCAGGTGTGGTGGCTCACTGCTATAATCCTTGCACTTTGTGAAGCTGAGGCCGGAGGATAGTTTGAGGTCAGGAGTTCGAGACTAGCCTAAGCAACATAGTGAGACCCAGTCTCTAGGAAAACTAGAAAAAATTAGCCAGGTGTGGTGGGCACCATTTGAAAAGAAACTAGAATTTTACTTAAGAAATCAAGTATAGTGAAAGATTTAAGAAACCAGAATATAGGCCGGGCGCGGTGGCTCACGCCTGTAATCCTAGCTCTCTGGGAGGCCGAGGCGGGCGGATTGCTCAAGGTCAGGAGTTCAAAACCAGCCCTGAGCGAACTCCGTCGCACTAAAAATAGAAATAAAATTAATTGACCAACTAAAAAATATATACAAAAAATTAGCCGGCATGGTGGCGCATGCCTGTAGTCCCAGCTACTCGGAGCTGAGCAGAGAGATTGCTTGAGTCCAGGAGTTTGGGGATGCTGTGAGCTGTAGGTGCGACGCCAGCACTCACTCTAGCGCTGGGCAACAAAGTGAAGAACTCGTTGTCTCAAAAAAAAAAAAAAGAACAGTAGACTTAAGGATGGAAGATGCTTTGAATAGTGTAAAGTGTACACCTATAGTTCCAGGAAGCTCAGGCGGGAGGATCACTTGAACCTCAGGAGTTTGAGGTTGCAGTGAGCTATGGTGACACCACTGCTCTCATACCAGGGCAACAGAGCAAGACCCTGTCTCAAAGACAAAAAAAAAACCCAGAATAAAAGAATATTAGAGGATTTAACTTGATTGATGATATAATACTATGTTGAAAGAAGTACCTTATTCTTACTTGGTTTTTTGAATTAATACTTTGTTTCACTTTGTTAAATTAGGTATCCTGGCTCGTAATATCCCAGAAGATAATGCTGACATGGCCAGACTTGATTTCAATCTTATCAGGTAAAAATTTGAAGTTGAACTTTTAACACATTGGGGACAAAAAACAATATGCCACACCTGGTATCCCTCTCTTTTTCTCTCACTCACTGTAAACCTTTACTGAATACCTTCTATGTGACATGGTATGTATGTAAGCATTTTGGTTAGGCCAAATTTACATTACCAAAATACATAGTTAAACTGAAAACTATTTTTGTGTTTTCAGGAAGTTATGATCTAACTTTTAGTATATACAGGTTGAATATCCCTTATCTGAAATACTTGGAACCAAAAGTGTTTCAGATTTCAGATTTTGGAATGTTTGCAGATAATATACCAATTGAGCATCCCTTATTTGAAAATCTGAAATCGAAAATGCTCTAATGAGCATTTACTTTGAATGTCATGTTGGCACTCCAAAAGTTTTGGATTTTCAGATTAGGGTTATTCAACCTGTATAGCTAATTTAGTTATTTGTATAAAGATATAGAACATTTCTTTCAGATATATGTAACAACTTTATTGAGATATAATTCATACTCCATACAGTGCACCCATTTAAAATATGCAATTCAGTAGGTTTTAGTATTTTCACAGAAGTTACGCAACTATTATTGCATTCAATATTAAACATATTCATCACCCTCCCCTACACACAAAAAAACAAAAAACCTATACCATTAGCATTTATTCTGCACTTCCCCTAATACTTTAAAGCCTTGGCAACCACCAGCCTACATTCTGTCTCTGGATTTTGCTGTTTTGTGCATTTCATATGAATGGAATCCAACATGGCGCACAATGTTTTTTGTGACTAGCTTCTTTCACTTAGCATGTTTTCAAGGTGTGTCCATGTTATAGCATAGTATCTCAGTACTTTGTTTCATTTTATTGCTGAAAAATAATTCATTGTGTGAACATACACACCATTTTCTTTATCAGTTCATCAGTTGATGGACTTTTGGGTTGTTTCTACTTTTTGGATATTATGAATAATGCAGCTGTGAATATTTGTATGCAAGTTTTTCTGTGAATATGTGTTTTCATTTCTTTGGGTACAAGCCTATGAGTGGAATTTCGTGGTCATGTGGTCACTGTGTTTAACTTTTGAGGAACTGCCAGACTGTTTTCCAGAGTGCTGCACCATTTTACGTTAACAGCAGCAGTGTACTGGGATTGCAGTTTCTCCACATTCTCACCATTTGTTATTTTGATTCTAGCCCTTCTAGTGGTTGAGAAGTGGAATCTCACTGTGATTATGATTTGTATTTCCTAATGATGCTGAGCAATCTTTTCATATGCTTATTAACCAGTTGTATACCTTCTTTGAAGAAATGTCTATTCAGATACTTTGCCCATTTGTTAGCTGAGTTATTCACCTTTTTATTATTGAATTGTAAGGTTTTTTTTCTCCCGTTCTGTAGATTGTGTTTCTTAATGATGTCCTTTGACCATCACAAATGTTTTCAATTTTGATGATGTGGAATTTATCTATTTTTTCTTTTATTGCTTGTGCTTATGATGTCATATGTAAGAAACCAATGCCTGATCCTGGGTGATGAAGATTTTGTGTATGTTTTCTTTTAAGAGTTTTCTTAGCTTTAGTTCTTTACTTAGGTCTTTGATTTATTTTAAGTTAATTTTTATATACAGGTGTGAGATAGAAATCCAACTTTGTTCTTTTGTATGTGGCTGTCCTGTTGTCCCAGCTTCATTTGTTAAAAAGATCATTCTTTCCCTAATTGAATGGTCTTGGTACCTTTGATCTATGTGTCTGTTATGTTAGTACCAGACCATTACTGTGGCTTTACAGTAAATTTTGAAATCACAAAGCATGAGTCTTCCAACTTTATTTTTCTTTTTTTCTTATTTTTTTTAGAGTATTATGGGACAACATTGTTGTTCTTATTCAGGTTGTTTTGACTATTTAGAGTTTCTTGTATTTCCACATAATTTTTAGAATCAGCTTGCCCATTTCTGGAAAAAAAAAGCAATTGTAATTTTTTTAGAGTGTAATGAATCTGTAGATCAATTTGGGAAATATTGCCATCTTAACAACATTAAATCATCCAGTGCATGACATGGATGATTTAGAGTTTCTTTAATTTCTTTCTATAATGTCTTGTACTTTTATTAAATTTTAAATATTTTCTTTTTTTTTATGCTTCTATAAGCGGAATTGTTTTCTTAAATTTTTTATTGTTCCTTACTAATATTAGTACAATTGATTTTTATAGATTGATTATATATCCTACAACCTTGCTGACCTCATTTCTTAGTGCTAATAGATTACTTTTGTCAGTTCTGTAGGATTTTCTATACATAATAAGATCATGTCTCCTGCAGATAGAGGTAACTATACTTCTTTCTTTCCAATCCAAATGCCTTTTATTTCATTTTCTTTGTTAATTGACCGGACTAAAACTTCCAGTACAATCTTGAATAGAAGTGGTGAGAGTGGACATCTTTGTCTTGTTTCTGATCTTAGGAGGAAAGTCTTTTACCATTAAGTATGATGTTAGCTGTGAGTTTTGCTCTCACTTTGTCATGTTGAGTAAGTTCCCTTCTGTTCTTAATTTGTTGAGTGTTTTTATCATGAGTGTTGAATGTTATCAGATGCTTTTTTGTGCATCTGTTGAAATGATCAAGTGGTTTTTGTCCTTTATTAACATTAGTTACACTGATTTTTAGACATTAAACCAACCTTAAATTCCTAGGATAAATACTACTTAACGATGGTGTGTATTTTTATATTCTTCTAGATTTGGTTTGCTAGTATTTTGTTGAGGATCTTTGTGCCAATTTACATAAGAGATACTGGTTTGTAGTTTTCTTGTGACATATTTGTCTGGTTTTGGTATGGAGGTAATAGGACTGAGAGAATGAGCTACAAGTGTTTCCCTTCCTCTGTTTTTCTGTTTATTAATTTTCACCAGTTAGGCTTATTTTTTGCTGGGGAGCCTGCCTACAAATCTTCCCCCATTGCAGTCCTGGAAGTGGAACTCCCCTTCACTGGTTGTTAATTTTAGATTAGTTCTATGTTTTAAAATTATTCTTTTGGCTTTCCTATTACCATTATTTCTGTGACTTCTATAAAAGCAAAACAAATGTTGCACTCTCAGAATGCTCCAGTGTTTTTTGTCATTGTTTCCAATCTGTTATTTTTTTGGGAAAAGAATCTAAATTTGAATGTCCTAGATAATAGTGATCACATTCCAAAATGAGAATGTTACCTGTAATCCTGTATTTTATATTTCTATTAGAATTTTTAAAAACTTTTTATGACTCAGTAGTATTGGGTAGCTAAGGTTACCCAAGCAGCAACATTGCAATGTGTTTTGGAGGGAATAATGTGTACCCAGATTCAGAGCACTGCTGATTAAATTACCTTCTGTAGCAATAGGGTGTCCTGTTTTGGGTTTTTTGTGTTGTTTTTATATTTGTTTGTTTTTTTTTAAAGAAATGAGATTTCATTCTGTCCCCCAGGCTGGTGTGCAGTAATGTGATCATGTGATCATAGCCTACTATATGCTCTATGGCATCCTCAAACTACGACCCGAGGGCCACATGTGGGTGTTTTTACCCGTTTGTTTTTTTACTTCAAAATAAGATATGTGCAGTGTGCAAAGGAATTTATTCATAGTTGTTTTAAAACTATAGCCCGGCCTTCCAACTGTCTGAGGGACAGTGAACTGGCCCCTTATTTAAAAAGTTTGAGGACCCCTGCTCTAACTCGTAGGCTTAAGCAATCCTCCTGCCTTAACCTCCCCAATAGCTAGGTCTATAGGTGCACACCACCAAGCCTGGCTAATTTTTTTATTTTTTGTAGAGACAGGGTCTCACTATGTTGCCTAGGCTGGTCTTGAACTCCTGTCCTCAAGCAATCCTCCCACCTTGGTCTCCCAAAGTGCTGGGATTATGGGCATGAGCCAGGCACCTGGCCCATCTTCACTTGTGTAACACCTTTGTAGAATTCTAAAATGTTAGACTCATAGTTTATATTTTACATCTGTATGGTTTTTGGTCATGTTAATAGTACTAAGTTATTCTTTTCCTGGATAGCAATAAACCATGTAAGTTGAGTTTTTAATGACAGCTATATTCCTCTTTGTCTTAGAGTTGTTGCTTGTAATCTCTATCCCTTCGTGAAGACAGTGGCTTCTCCAGAGGTGACTGTTGAGGAGGCTGTTGAGCAAATTGATATTGGTAAGTTAGAAAAGCCATCTAGAGGTCTTATAGGGGGAGGATTATTTAATTTTAATTTTTTATTCTGGGATGAATATAACTCATATGTCTTTTCTAAGAGGTTTTTCTGTATGTGTGTATATGTGTAGAAATTCATCTGGATTATTTTTCCTTATTTTTTTAAGTCAATAATTAAAGTGGAAGTATGTGCACAATGATTTTACTGAAAACAAGTTCAGAAACTGATATTGAAATACAAAAACGTCTTTTGTTCTTGAAAGGTGGAGTGACCTTGTTGAGAGCTGCAGCCAAAAACCACGCCCGAGTGACAGTGGTATGTGAACCGGAGGACTACGCAGCGGTGTCCACAGAGATGCAGAGCTCTGAGAGTAAAGATACCTCCTTGGAGACCAGACGCCAGTTAGCCTTGAAGGTGTGGACGTACTTTCAAAATATTGTAAAAATAACTCCATCTAGTGCGGAGTTTCCAGGACCAAACGTCTGGCTAGTGCTATGGGACACCTACCCATGGCTCTGCTTGGAGCTCCTGTTGTTTTGTTAAAAGTAGAGGAACTAAATATTATAGAGATGGTGTCAAAAAGATTGGAAAAGAATTGGAAAGGGATAACTTGTTGTGCTATTCAGTGTTACTTGGTGTCTTTGTGTGTGCACAGGGTGAAGGCATGTTATTTGCTGTGTACCTAAAACATCTTGTCCCTATTTGGGAAGTGCTGCTGGTATCTCACGAAACTTACACTTCTTGAGGCACCGCCCCCCCCCCCCCCCCCCCCCCCGGGGTCTTTCATGACGGCACAGTATGATGAGCAATTCCAGATTACTTCAGGAAACAGTACAGTAAAGGGATATCGGGATGCCCTTGGAGGGTGATGGAATGAACCCTCATCAAACTCTGCCCAGCTATACACATGAAGCCCAAGCTTCCCATCACAGGTAAAGCCCGGTGTCATGTGGTAGTTGCATGTTGGATACATGTGTTCTTTCTTTATATCTGTGTGGTTCATGTGTAGTAAGAGTAAATAATTCTGTAGATTTACCTCTAGCAACACCGTGAATTTAAGATGCCCGTTGGATTGTGAGCATGAACTCGTGAAGGTGCTCTGGGTACTGGGAGGGTGTCAAGTTGGACGGGTAGAGATTGGAATGTCTTTGGATATAGGAGTTTTGAGAATGGACAGGGTGGGATGACCTGGATTCATGGAAGAGGGGCAGATACTAAGCTTTGGGTACTTCCAGGCTTGAGGAGACAGTGAAGAGCCAAGAAGGAGAACTTGAGAATTTAACGTTGCTATATGTGAGAACTGAAAAGGATATTTGCTATTGGCTGTCGTTATAAGAAAGAGCAGTTCCTGGAATTATGGGTCTAGAAGTTGAATGGGCTGAAGTAAATGTGAATTAGGAGATAATAATGATAAAGATCTGGGTTTATTAGAGATAAGAGCTTTTTAAGTTTTTGTTCCAGTTTGTCTAAGTATGTTATGAGAGCATGTTCTACTCGGTAGAAGGCAGTAGGGGGTAGCGGACTGAGGCAGAGTACAGGCGTGAAGGCCTTGAAGGCCCAAGCACGGCAGGGAGGCTGGCTGTTGGGAGGGCCAGGCAGCCTCTTCCCTAGGAGAAGGCAAGCTGGGAACATGCTGGTCAGGCATTTGGTGGGTGATAGATGCAGTGTCCTGCAGTGTCCTTTTTCCCTTCACCAGCTAAAGGAGAGATAGAGAGGCGAGCAGGTGGAGGTTGAGGACAGGCTGAAATATTCTTCCATTACCACAGGTTAGCCCAAGCTATCTGTGAGTATCTCTCTTTTTT